AGAAAATGTAATAAAGGCGAGAAGCCTTCGCCCACACCGCTATTGTATATCTGTAGTTGGTAAAAGTTGAGAACAACTAACAATGCGCCCACAGCCAAAACAAGATAGATTTTTTTTCGTTCCATCAATATCTGCACAATACTGGCTAGGGCTAGGGCAAATACAGGGTAGCTTTGTACCAATGCTCTTGTGGAATAACTGCCACCATAGCGCCAGTCAGACCAGGCCATGATTATCCATAGATTAAGCAGGCAAAAAATCAATACTGATTTTTGAAATGGGTATTTTTTCATAAACACCAATCCTAAAACCATCAGTATAGTAATAGGTGTATATACAAACCAACCCTTTTCGGGGCCAAATAATACCCTAAACCATGGATTTAAAAAATACCATTTACTACCCACATCATAAATCAAGCTGCCTGTGGTGTATTGCCAGTACAATAATTGGGGTAAAACGCCTATGATTCCTGCAATACAACAGATGACTACATGATATTTATATTGGGCAACTAGAGCCCATTTGATATTTTTTGTTGTTTTATGATGTATAGCCCAAAATAGCGGTATACATATAATAATGAGTTCGGTGGGTCGTGCGATAACCGCAAGACCACATATTAGTCCAATCATTCCTGCATAAATCCATCGGGGTCTTTCGTGCCATTTGATGGTATACCAAAGAACCAATGAATACAAAGTGAAAATCCATACATGGCTTTGTGCTGCGTCAATAGAAATGTATTGAATAATATTACTGCAACAACCTATTAGGAGTAGTGTTACAGCAGTTGTTTGATCATCGAAAAATTTAAGTAAAACTTTGCTTAGAACGATAAAACCAAGCATTGCCCATGCTATTGCTCCAAAAATCAGCGCATATTGATATGGCCAAGAAAAACCGTCTTGAGGTACCTTTTCAATTTTAGCAAGCATATGTCCTACAAAGAAAAATGGGGCCTGCATCAATGATACCCCACATAAATACTTATTGGTGTACTTTCCTGATTCTTGATGTATGGCTTGATAAAAAACGCCACCTGTTACCTTATAGTTTGAATCAATTTTGCTGAACCCATTTTAAATCTCGAACATCGTTATAAATAAAAACACTTGGTAAATACATATAGTATCCGAAAGCATCCCAAGTAGTAGCATTGTAACCGTTTCTGTCATTATTGCTAAAGTGCATAGCCCTAAATCCCAAAAACAATACAAGCAGAAATAATAAAGCAGTATTTGAATATCGCTTCTTCATAAAAAAGAAAAGCACAAATCTACTTAAGTAGATTTGTGCTGCAAATGTAATATGTTGAAATTTTTTAGATTAGAAACCTTTTTTAGCAACACCGTCAGCAATTGCTTTCAAAGCATTTGCTTCGCTAAGGATAGCTGCCATTTTATTTCCTTTACCATCGTTTCCGCCGGCCATATATCCACCACGTGCAGTTTTAGTAATTACCGCGTCGTGCATTGGTACATTTTTTTCTTTAGTCTTTAAGCAATAAGCTTTAATCATTTTACTTGTGTCCATAATAGAAAATTTAATTGTTTAGTTAAAGATTTGAGTTAGTAAACAGCTACAAATAACGGCTATTTCAATCAGATAAGTGATTGTTGTTGAAAATAATTATTGAATGCCACCAAATTGTGTATTTCTTGTGTATTATTATTTTTTCAATAATCATTGTTTGCCCTTCATCTTAGCCACCAAATCCCAAACTACCACACCCACACTTACCGAAATATTGAGTGAATGTTTACTGCCCCATTGAGGTATTTCAATACAAAGTTCACTATGGGATAAGGCCTGGTCACTCACACCATTTACTTCATTGCCAAAGATAAGGGCTATGGCTTTATTTGTTTGTGCATCAACACTTTGTAAGGATGTGCTGTTATGGGTTTGTTCAACAGAATAAACAGAATAAGCTTTAGATTTTGCCTTTTCTATTGCAGTTTGAACATCAGAAAAATGTTCCCAATGTACCGTTTCGGTAGCCCCAAGTGCCGTTTTGTGAATATCTCGGTGTGGAGGAGTGGGTGTAAAACCACAGAGGTAAATTGCCTCAATGGCAAAAGCATCTGCCGTTCGGAAAATCGCTCCTACATTTTGCATACTGCGTACATCATCTAAAATGATGATGATAGGATGTTTGGGCAAATCGCTCATTTCAGAGGCAGATTTACGTTCTAATTCATCCATCGATTTTTTGATAAACAAGACTCTATTTTTTTAAAAGATTATGAATTTGCAGCTTCTTGGCTTTTTGCTAGTTTACTATTCCTTTTGCCGTAGGCAAAATAAATGACCATACCGATGATAAGCCAAACAATAAAACGTATCCAGTTGACTATGCCCAATGTGGACAATAAATACAGACAGGATATAACACCTAAAAGGGGTAATAATGAATATTTACGAATCCATGCAATGCTACAAACAATAAGGGTGCATAAATAAAATAACCAAGTTGGAATAAGGTGTTGCCAGACTTCAAAACCACCAGCAAGCGTAAAGGTTTTTGAAAATTCATTCACACCTTCAGCATTTTTATGGAACAATAGATATAATATGACAGCCAACAATAGTGGGATTCCAAATCTGCTATTGATATAAGGAACTTTAAATTTAGGTTTAGCTAGGTCTTTTCGATGCTGTAAAATCATTATGCCAGCACAAACAAGGGCAAAAGCAAAAAGTGTCCCTATGCTGCACATATCCGTTACAAATGCAGCATCCATAAATAGGGCAGGGATACCTACTAGTAAGCCTGTCATTATTGTTGAGAACTTAGGCGTTTTAAAGCGAGGATGTATTTCTGCAAATTTTTTAGGCAAAAGTCCATCTCTACTCATGCTCATCCATATTCTTGGTTGTCCTAATTGAAAGACCAATAATACACTAGCTGTTGCTATCAATGCACTAAAAGCAATGATACCCCCAATCCAATTAATGCCTCTTTGCAAAAAAGCATTGGCCAAAAATGCTTCGTTGTTGAGCGATGAATAATGTACCATACCGGTAAGTACTAATGCGGCTGCTATATACAAGGCTGTTGCAATAATAAGTGAATACAGCATGCCCCTTGGCAAGTCGCGTTGCGGATTTTTACATTCTTCGGCAGTAGTAGCCAATGCATCAAAACCTATATAGGCAAAGAAAACGGCGCTAGTCCCTTTTAATACTCCCGACATTCCATTAGGTGCAAAAGGAACCCAATTGCTAGGCTGAACATAAAATGCACCAATAATCACCACTATCAGCACTACCAAAACTTTGAAAACAACCATGGCATTGCTTACCGTTCTACTCTCTTTGATGCCGATATAGACTAGGCTTGTAATTATAACAGTAATCAGAAATGCGGGTAAATTGAGAATGATAGGTAGGCTGCCGATATGAGGTGCATGTAACCAAAGTTCGTGCATGCTTTTGGTGTAGGCACTAATCTCTTCTTTTTTTGCAATGGCAAGTTCAAAGGCTTTATGTGCATTTTTTACTTCAAGAAAACTTTTGCTCAAGAATGCTGGTAGATCAATACCAATTTGGTGTAAAAAGGTAGTAAGATTTCCACTCCAAGATATGGCAACGGTAACATTGCCAATAGCATATTCCATGATTAAATCCCAACCGATAATCCAAGCTATTAATTCGCCAAATGTTGTATAACTATAGGTGTATGCACTACCGGCAACAGGGATACGCGAGGCCATCTCGGCATAGCAAAGTGCCGAAAAGCCACAGGTGACCGCTATGCCAACAAATAACCAGATAACAGCAGGACCTCCGTTGAAACAGGCAGAACCTATGGTGCTGAAAATGCCTGCACCAATGATGGCAGCCATACCAAATAAGGTTAAATCCCTAACGGTAAGGATACGATGCAAGCCAGTATGTTCGCTGTCGCTGAAACCTTCAGCAGCATCTTTTTGTATTTGATGAATTGATTTTTTTCGAAATAATGAATGGAACATTGGCGAAAGATAAGGTAAATAGACAATTTGAAAATGGTTTACAATCTATGGAACAGTTCAATACATTCCACTGCCTCTTTTACGTCATGCACCCTAAGGATGTTCGCTCCTTGTTGCAAGGCTACCATGTGTAGAGCCGTAGAACCATTTAATGCATGAATGGCATCTGTTTTGAGGCTTTTGTAAATCATTGATTTGCGCGAAATTCCTGCTAATATTGGCTTGCCCAAAATTCGTAATTGAGCCATATTGTTTAATAATTCAAAATTATGTTCCACATTTTTGGCAAAACCAAAGCCTGGGTCCAAAATCAAATCATTAATGCCTGTTTTTTGGCAATTATCTACTAAAATGCGCAGCTCAGTGATGACTTCTTCAGTCACATTTTTGTATGAAGGATTTTGGTGCATTGTTTGTGCTGTACCTCTATTGTGCATGGCTATATAGGGTACATTTAATTGTGCTACAGTACTTATCATATCATCATCAAATAAGCCGCTGCTGATGTCATTAACTATATCTGCGCCTGCAGCCACAGCTTGTTTAGCTACAACAACTCGATAAGTATCAATAGAAATCCATATTTGAGGATAATGTTTTTTGATGTGTTCAATAGCAGGTAAAATGCGCTCAATCTCTTCAGTTGCATTAAGTTCCTCAGCTCCTGGTCGGGAAGAAGCACCTCCAATATCTAAAATTTTTGCTCCATCATTGACCATCTGTTCTGCCTGTTTCAACATTTCCTCTGCATTTTGCTTTCTGCTAGGGCTATAAAAACTATCAGGAGTAATATTGATGATACCCATCACAATAGGATGCGAAAGGTCGAGTAAGTTTCCTTTACTTTGCAGCAAATTGGCAACAGCTAAATGCGTATTTTTGAAACTCATCGTTCAGAAGTATTTTTGTACAAATTACAAATGTAGCCGCAAATTAAAAAGCAAAATGAATTCAACTCAAATAACCTTGCATCAATATAATGCTGTAGTAGCACGTTGCAAAGACTTATATGTCAAAAAAGCTGCTGATTATGGCACTTCGTGGCGTGTATTACGCTCCATTTCTATAGTTGATCAAATTTATATCAAAGCTTGGCGTATTCGTCAAATCCAAGAAACTGAATCGCAGCTTGTGGACGATTCTATCGAAAGCGAATTTGTAGGCATTGTCAATTATGGCATTATTGCACTCATTCAATATTTTTTGCCTAAAGATGCCCCCATAGAACTTAGTGCTGAAGCGGCTCAAGAATATTATGAACAAAGGGCTGAAGAAGTAAAACAATTGATGCTGAAAAAGAATCATGATTATGGTGAAGCTTGGCGTGCGATGTCGCAAGCCTCATTTGTTGATTTAATTTTGGTGAAATTGTTGCGCATTCGTCAAATTATCGCCAACGATGGTGCGGTAAAAGTTTCAGAAGGTGCCGATGCCAATTTCGCAGATATTGTGAACTATGCCATTTTTGCGCTCATCATGATGAATGAGGAATAATAATTTTTTTAAAATGCTTCCATTAAGCCCTATTTAATTGTGCCTAATGCTCATTTACAAACTGACAACATTTAGCCATTGAACTTTTAAATATTTTTGAGCTCAACTAAAATCACGAAACACAATGAAATACATCCTCTGGTTATTACGCATTATTGTTGGAGTACTATTTATTTTCTCCGGTCTCATCAAAGCCAATGACCCTCTTGGTTTGAGCTACAAAATGAACGAATTTTTTGATGTGTGGGGTATGAGTGGATTGGCTAGTATTTCTCTTATACTGTCGGTACTAATGATAGGCTTTGAAATTATTGCTGGTATTGGGCTATTGCTCGGTGCAGCATTTCGCTCCTTTTCCTTTCTCCTTTTATTATTGACTTTATTTTTCACTTTCCTTACTGCGTACGTCTATCTTACTGATAAGATAAAAGAATGTGGTTGTTTTGGTGATTGTATCAAAATATCCAATGCCGAGACTTTTTGGAAGGATGTGGTATTAACTGTTTTTGTTCTCATTCTTTTTGCCTATCGCAAAAGGGTGAAACCTTTGTTTAACGGTAAAATCACCTTTGCATTGATGCTCCTAACAGTGCTTTTTGCATTTGGTACACAATGGTACAGCTTACATTATTTGCCTTATTACGATTGTCTTGCCTATAAAAAAGGAGCTAATGTTTGGGAGAAAATGCAAGCCCCTCCTGGCTCTACACCAGACGTGTACAAAAATGTGATGACTTATGAAAAAGACGGTAAACGTCAAGATTTTGACGAAACCAATTATCCTTGGCAAGACACTACTTGGAAATTTGTTGACAACAAACCTATTTTAATCAAAAAAGGGAATGCTGACCCTGCTATCAAAGATTTTGTGTTGAATGATTATAACAGTAATAATTTGACTGAATCTATTTTGAAAGAACCCGGATACACCTTTTTCTTGTTTATTAAGGATGTAAAAAAGGCTAATCTTGAAAATATCGAACGCCTGCAAACATTGATTACTACTGCCAATCAGCTCAATATTCCTTTTTATGTGTTGAGTTCTTCCTCTAAATCTGACGCTGATAAATTTGCCGCCGATTACAAATTGCAAGGTGCTCAATGGTTGATTATTGATGGAACAGTAAGTAAAACGGCCATGCGTACCAACCCGGGTTTGATAATGCTCAAAGACGGTACCATTAAAAATAAATGGTCGTTTAAAACATATCCTAAAGGAATGTCGCTTAGTGGCACTTCACTCACGCTTCAATAAATTTTTATAGTGATACATTTCTTACTACGCAAAATAGGCTACAGCATTATCGTGCTTTGGGGCGTAGTGAGTTTAGTATTCTTTTTATTCAATGTCTTGCCCGCCGATCCGGCACGACTAACACTTGGTCAACGAAGCGATTTGAGTTCTTTGGAAAATGTACGGAAAGAACTCAATCTTGACAAACCAATGGCTACGCGATATCTGCTTTATCTTAACGATTTGTCACCTATATCGTTTTTGTCAAATGACAGCAGCAGCCAAATAAAATATAATTATGCTTCGCTTCTGTCTTTTGGAGACCACGATTTGGTCTTAAAAAAGCCTTATTTGGGGCGTTCATATCGTACCAAAAGGTTAGTGAGTGATGTGCTTACAGATGCTCATCAAAGCAAAGAAACTAAAAGTTCAAAATAGGTTTTTTAATTTTTTGGTTTTGAAATATAAAGATGAAATATGGATTGAACGCAGGTCTGAAAAAGGCATTTGGCAAAATCTTCATCAGTTTTACTTGATAGAGTCTACAAAAAGTATTGCACTTAGCACCTTGCAACAGGATTCTTTTTTTGTCAACAACAAGTCCCTCGTCAAAGAGCTAGTTTTTGATTCGATGTACAAACAGCGTTTGACCCATCAGTTATTAGAAAGCAAATTTTATACTGTTAGACTCAGCTCCAAAAATATTGCTTTACCCGAGCAGGGTTTTTGGCTACCTATTTCTCAGCTCAAGAATTTCGCTTTCCCCAAAACAATAGTTGACTATATCGATGCGTCTTTTGTATAGAGCTTTCTTTGGGTATGTACAGCAATTGATTGGCTTTTTGTTGTTTACAAGCTTGTTTGCTGCATTATGTGCTGTGCTGTTGTGTATGGCTACAGAAAAGTTAGTGACAGGCCAAAGCCCAATCTGTTTCAGCGTTTTACATTGTTTTATTTTTGGATGCACCTTGTTGGTGTATAATGTTCATTATTTGATTAAAAAATCAACGATAGAACTATCTGACCAATATGCATGGGTGCAACAAAACCGATACTGGAATTATGCTTTCCTTGCAATAGGGCTTATGATGAGCCTTATTTTCGTTTTTCAATTGCCTCAATCTCTTTGGTCTATTATTTTACTGTTGGCTGTACTTTCTTTTGCTTATTCTTTACCTTTTCTACCTTTTAAAAACAAGCACCGATTAAAAGATTTCGGTTGGTTGAAAATTTTTGTCCTTAGTACTGTTTGGACAGTGGTCACAACAATATTGCCAATACTATACCATCAACAATTCATGATGTTTTATCCTTTCGAGATAATACTACGTTTTGTTTTTTTGTTTATCCTTTGCCTTGCATTTGACATTAGGGATAGGGTAGTAGATTTAGAAGCAGGAATTTTCACTATCCCTAACAAGATAGGTTTACTCAATACCTATGTACTCATCACGCTTATGTGTCTTGTGTACATAGTTATTGCTATTGTTCAGTATTTTCGATTTGGAATTGTTGATCGATTAGTGATTCATGTCCTTACGGCAATCGTTACTTTTGCAGCGGTTCATTATGTTCGTAAACATCCCTCCGATAGAAACTATATGCTCTTTATCGATGGGCAAATGCTATTGAATGGATTTCTTTTGTTGCTATTTTAAGAGGGGTTTTATAACCATCTTTTTTTCTTAAAGAAGATAAGCATAATCATAGGGATGATCAGCATTGCTGCCACCGATACATAAAACCCTTTTTGATCATGCAAGAGTGGTATTCGGTCAAAATTCATTCCAAAAATACCACCGATAACTGTTGCTGGAGCCAATAATACAGAAACCATCGTGAAAATTTTCATGACCTGATTCATTCTTAAATTAATTTGGTTCATGTACAAATCTTGCAGATTACTGAGCATATCTCTTAATCCTTCACAATCATCGTGTGCTTGAGTAATATGGTCATAAACATCTTTAAAATATTTTTCGTTTTTATTCAAGATAAGTTCGTTTTCGGTTCTCAAAAAACCATTGACCAATTCCCGAACCGGAGCTATAGCCTGCTTTGTAAGCATCACTTCTTTGCGGATGTGGCTTATTTCGCTCAGTAATCCTTGTTCTTTATTGTTAATTAAGCGCTCTTCGATGAGTTCGATATTACTGCTTAGCTTGTCGATAATGACAAAATAACTGTCTACGATAACATCTAATAAAGAATAGCATAAATAATCGGTACCTCTTTCGCGGATACGCTGATGTTCGTTGCGCAATTTTGCCCTCAAGGGGTCAAATACATCTCGGGTAGCATCTTCTTGAAAGGACAACAGAAAATCAGGCCCAACAACAATACTCACTTGTTCTAGCTCAATGCTTTTAAGTTCATCATTAAAATAAATCATGGGCAACAAACAAAATAAACGGTCTTCTACTTCGTCCATTTTAGCTCTCTGTCCAATGCTCAAAATATCTTCTGTAAGTAGCGGGTGAACTTTGAAAAAATTACACAATTCTTCAATTTCTTCTTTGCGCAATCCATCAGCATTGATCCAAGTGGTTTTGTATTCTGTAGAAGTCAGATTCCAGTCAAGGGTGTTTTTGGATTTATATTCGTTTAAATGCTTTTCGTTATAGTTAAAGACACTATACACCGCTTCTACTGTACTTGTGCGGACTTCGGGTATAATGGCAGGATCGTAGGAACTACGTCTTTTTTTGATACGCGATAGCTGTGGTATATACTGTGCTACTTTTTGTCTTTTGCTGCCCATTTAGCGAATAATATTATTGGTCAAAATAACAATCCCTGCAAGATAGAGTACTTGCAGGGATTGTTATTCAAAAAATACTGATTATCTAGTAATTTCCATTTTTTTGGTATCAATCACTTGACCATCAGCAATCAAAGTATAGTAGTATATACCCTGACTCAAATTTGTTGTATAAATATCTACTTGTCCTTTACCTCTTTCTTTAAGTGTAATTAGCTCTATAATTTTACCCTCAATAGTTGTGAAACGAATAGCTGCATTTTGAATTGTATTTGGTAAATAAAATGAAACTGACGTTTTTCTATCACATGGATTTGGTATATTCTGATTAATGAAACAACTATCTTTCTCTGA